GGTCCTTTGTGTTGCTGTCATACTTATTTTTGGGGATGGAAAAGATATTGGAAATGCTTTCGGTATGTTACCTTGCATCCATTGAGTACTGGTAAGATTCCGTAATATTTACTTCATGATTACTCATGTACCTTACCGGCTTTTGCTGCAGGTGTTGTTGTTAGTCTAGTGATGCTCATCACCACTATATTACTTACACTAGTCATGATCATGATATGGAGGACTCCCGCTATTCTGGTTGCTCTATACTTGTGTGTGTTTTTTGTGATGGAAGGGGTTTATGTCAGTGCAGTTTTCACTAAGCTCCTTGAAGGTGGATGGATTCCTTTCGCCATTTCTTTTATCCTTGCCATCATCATGTTTGGTTGGTTTTATGGTAGACAAAGAAAGGTCCACTACGAGTTAACCCACAAGATAACCTTGGACAGACTTGAAATGCTTTTGGCAGATCGCAGCATTCAAACAGTGCCTGGCTTATGCTTCTTTTATACTAACATTCAAGATGGTCTGACTCCTATACTAGGACACTACATAAAGAATATGAAATCCTTCCATAAGGTCACAATATTCACCACTCTTAGGTATCTGTTGGTCCCCAAGGTTGATCCACATGACAGGATTGTCGTCAACAAATTGAGCCCCAAAGGGGTGTACAGTTGTGTGATTCAGTATGGCTATGCAGATTCTTTGAACCTAGAAGATGATTTTTTATTTCAAGTTACTAGTAGTTTGATGCAACATATAAAGAGATGCAATGGCCATGTCCCATTTGATCGTCATGAGATAGAACAAGAGATTTCCAGGTTAGAAGAAGCACGGTCTGCCGGCGTGGTTCATGTTCGTGGGAAAACTCGGTTTCATATCGGCCCTAACTGTGGCTGGTTTGACAGAATTATGCTTGCATTTTATGAATTCTTGCATAACAATTGCCGGTCTGGATTGCCTGCTCTGAGGGTTCCATTACAGCAAAGGATTGAAGTTGGAATGCTATATGAGGCTTGAAGGGATAACTTTGGAATAAATATGGAATTTGGTGGTTGAAAGATATGATTCCTGAGGGCTTTCTTAAACGCAGTATAAGTCCCTCAAAATCTATAACCTGCTACAAACGAGTCCCCTTGATGGAACAAATTTTATGCACAGGTGTACCTTTTGTTAGTTAATTCTATTTGATGTTTTACTTTCATCTCTTCAATTCCAATTAAGTTTTTTAACTTTGTCAGTTCCTTTTTATAGAATCCCATTAACTACTTTCCTAAGAAAATGAACTAAAGTTGTGTTTGGATAGAAGCCAGATTATAGTTTTAAAAATAATTTTATAATATGTGAAAAAAATAAAAGTTTTATCTCGAATTACGTAAAGGCAGTGTTCAGCTCAACCAAACATCTCATAATGTTTATACTTTATAAAAATAATGTCATTTTTGTAAATTGATTAAAAAAAACTTGTAAAGTAGATTTGTATCCTTTGTATCATAAATCAATAAAAGTTTATACTTATTAATGAAGAACTTTTGAAGTACAATAAATTATTAAAAGAGTTTATAAAATTAAAATTGTGTTCAGATGCAAATTAAATCATGCTAATTTGGTATCATTTTTATTAAAAAGTAAGAATAATAAATAACATTATTTCTCAAGTAGAAGTAGAGATAAATTATTTTTTAGTTCGGGAATATTTTGTATTTTCATATAATGAAAATAATAAATAATGTATTTAAAAGGATTATTGAGAATACATTAATTCAGGTTTTTTTTGGGGGGCAGACATTAATTCAGTTATTATGTTAAAAAAAGAACAAAACAAACGACCAATGTAATCTAGTAAAAAGTTTAACGTGGAAGTCACAATCGCAAATTAAAAGTCACAATTACAATTTTTTTGGCCATCAATTCATAATTACAAATTTAAATGTTGATGATCCTTATCTTTGTCTTTGTCCGTCACTGATTATTACATAGGAAAAAAAAATCTGAGATGACATTACATAGGAAGCAATTGATGGTCGGACCCTGCTGGTAAAAAAAAAAAAGATGATCGGACCCATAATTCAAAGGAAAAATGATTAAAAAAAAGAAGCTGAAAATTACTAAATCCTAAATTAAATTTGATAACCACTTTATTTAGTATTGACAATACTAAATTAGCAAATGACAGTATTCAGCTTCTTTCTTTTTTTTTTTTTATCATTTTTCCTAATTCAAACGTCATAATTTCTCTTTAAGATACGCGAGGGTATGACAGACAAATCATGTATCATAATTTCTCTTACCTCGTTCAACGTAATTATATAACTATAATTTCTAGATATGAATTTCTACACCATCACAATGTGAATTATTACCCCTTTTCACTAGACTCCGCCACTATTGATAGTATAGCATCATATTTTATAAACCATGGCTGTGTTTTTGAATAATCATAGGGCGGGGTTGCGCCGGGCCAAGTTAGCCTTTTCTGACATTATCTTCTTTGATATCATCAATTCAATTGACTTAGCTAATAAAAATTACTTAATTGAAAAGTAGTTGACTTATACTCCCTCCGTTCCTTATTATAAGAGACATTTGATGCTTATGACATGTTTTTATATATAAGAAACACTTAAAAGTTGTCTCTACTTTTTTGTGTTGATTTCCTATTTCACCCATATTTATTGTCTCCAACTCACACTCTCTTTCCTTCCCACTTCTCTTTCTTTTAATAATTTACCATTGTTCTCTCTCATGCTCTCTCTCCTTATTAATGAGGGTATTTTTGAAAAAAAATTATACTTTTTACACATTGATTGTTCTTAACTAATTTTAACTGTTTTTTTTTATCAACGTAATTCAGTTATTCGTCTCTTATAATAAAAAACAGAGGGAGTAACTCATAAGGTTGTGTATTCATTAAATAGGACAAATTAATTTTAAAAAAAAAAGATAAGTGTAAATATTTTAAAACAATTTATTTATTACTTTTCTTAATTTTTTCAAATTAGTTAACTGAATCTTACATTAAGGAAAGAAGGCAGTAATAAATTACTACTTCCGGTTCTTAATATAAGAGCTAGATAACTAATTTAAAAAAACTAAAAAAAATAATTAAATTAGTTAATTATAATAGATATATGTTGACTCACTTAGACTACCCTCTTAAATCATATGTATTGGAATTACTTGTAAAAATATTTTCAAAAAAACAATTTAAAATTTGAGAGATAAAATATATTAAAATCTTATATTTAAAACTAAATTCAATCCTTTAACTAATTTTTATATTAACGATTGCATTAGAGGTGGTACCAAAAAACATGACGCTCGCGAGAAACAGAGAGTGGCTTGCGATAAAAGCCAGCAAGTGGAACGAGTTCGCAAGGTACTACAAACGCTGCCAATAGTCGGTGGTCACATGAACTTCAGCTAAAAAAAGCTGAGCTTGCGGACCTGATTTATACTTCAAGGCTGCAGCATATCAGAGAAAAATTCATTATTGATTGTTATTATTCGATAATTTCCCACCCTATCATATCACAATTGTGTGTGTGTGTAGAATAAGGAGCACTGTGTCTCCTCGATAATTATACACGGTACAACTTTCTGGTTCAAATGGACAGTTCCCTCAGAAGTCAAAAGCACCAAAAGCTGCTTGATTAGTTTTGGACAGAGGAGGGAGAAGATTTTGTACCAGTATTTCCCTCATGTGGCGGTATCTTTATAGAGAGAACAGAATGGACGATATGCGCCTAAATCAAATTCTCCTAATTTGATAAAAAAGAATTTTCGAGGAGGGGGGAAGAAGCTTTCCGAACAAGGGGAGGAGAAATTATCATTTAACCATCCTTTCCTTTTTCTTTAGAGCCCTTTCCTCTGTTTCTCCAACAAATGCCCATGCATACCATGGGCATCATGCTCAGCTTCCCTTCACTGCAGGGGAGAATTGTCAGATGAATCTGATCATTCATATTTAACAGTTTTATTCAAAAGAATTAATCTGAACAATAAAAAGTTTATTTGAATGGTTCCAGACTGCAACGGAGGAAAAAAGAATTTGAAAAGAAAAGAAAAGCACAACGGAGAGAAACTAGACTCACTTGGGGAAGGTTTCAAAATCTGGCCAAACACAATTTTGCCACCAATGGAGCAAAGTTGCTCGAGGTAGTTCAGGCATTTCTTTTCTCCCCAATGTCCATCTTAACAGAAAACAAATTCCCGAACTGCAACAAGCGACCTCCATCCATTAATTAAGCAATGGACGTTCTCCATCCATTAGTTCTAGGATGCCTGATGGGTTAGTGTTCTCCAGCTCATATGGGCAGGTAGGCCATAGGCGGGTAGAAACCTGTCAATCTCCAAGAACATATTCCATAAAAGCAAGGAAGGTAAGATATGGTAATTATTAAAGTCGGTATTCTATATCATTTTTTGATTCTCACTCATTTTGTTGGATTTGGATACTTTTTCTAACATTCAAACATCATTTTACATAAGATCTCTGATTTGGATTCACCTAGTCATTTTATTAGAGATGAAAGTAGGGAATGGGTTTTAAGAAAGATATCTGCGATTTATGAACGGAGAATTACAAACAGGTTCCAAATAAGATAGTTAATGACCCACAGGTCACGGATACTTGCAAATGAGAAATTTGGCATATAAATGCAGAAGTTTGACTTATAAATGGGGCTAAGAAAAGAATTAATTTCCCTATGTGGGACCTGTTTGTAATTCTCCCATTTATTACAGAAGATCTAAATTCTTCATGAGAGAAAAAGAGCATCTAAATTCAGAGTGCAACTCATGGAAACCCTCTTGTTCTCCATTTTTTCTTGCTTACGCTAAGTTTCAGACTTCGTTTATAGGAAAGAAAGGAGTGCGTAACATCTGTGCACAATGTCTATATCTTTAGAAAGAAAAAAAAAAAACCATGCATATGAAATATGAGTTGCCGCAGATCAAACACAGGTTCGAATATAAAATTAATTGAGCACTTAAACTAGTCTTGAAAGACATGGGAGTAAATACTTCACAAGAGCTTCGGCCATATTCAGCTTTTATAAATTTGAGAATTGATATAGCCATACGTTGAGTTGTTAAGTTCTTAGATACATAAAACCAATCATGGACCGTAACAATTTAAATTTCTGAAATTTTGGATAGTCTTTCACAGGCTTTCCTTTTTCTGAAAGTACCCATAATATATCTAAGAACTCGCAGAATAGCATCCTAGGAAGACAAAGATGCAGTAGAATTGGAGTGTCCTTGGGTTATTGCAAGTATCAAAATAACAGCTCACCTCAAATCAAAACAACTGTTGTTGAAAGCATTTGAGCCATATTGATCATTATAATGTTGCTCTTTATAATGTTTGATAGTGTGTCTCGCAATGAAGGAGTAATCTTCATTATTCAGTCTGACAAACCCACGGCGCGCATGAATGACTGAACAGAATAACATGTATGGTTATCCAATTAGCTTAGATGTATCATCGAGCAGAAGCAGCGAACCAGATTCTTTGCTAAGACTTTGGTTATTCTGGGCTCGTGTTCTTAGACCAAATGAAGTTACCTTTTCACGTCTCCAATGTCTCGAGGAATGAGAGGCTATAAACATGATTTTGCAAAGAACGATGATTTACCATACTCTCCTTTATTCTTTTCATGTTATCTGTTCTCTCCAACTTCTCTAGGCCTCTCCAATTTGCATTCTGGAATACAACTATTAAAGATCCCAGAATCCAACTCCCATCACTCACTATAAAGAAAGCGTCCAATTAAAATAGTCCCTTTGTCATTCTGAAATGACTGGAATCACCCTGATTCACCGATATTCCTCTAGCTTATTTTATTCCTTCGCAAAAACATTAATTGCACAATGACAAGGACGCAATGAAATTCACTTCTCGCTTCCAATGCTTTTTAATGCCCTGGTGCAGAAAGGCTGGTAGAGTAAAAGGACTATTGATCTCATATCTGACCACGTTTACCAATAATCTCCACAAGAACAAGTTCCCTCACTGAAGTGATGAAAGCGGTGAGAATCCCTTAAGATGATCAGCCTTCCAACAATCTTGGATATGTATTTCATGGCAATATGACAGTCTTCACAGACACGCAAGTTTTTCATGACACGTATTGGTCTTCCAGCTGGTATAGTCAAAATTCCAAATGCCACAGCTAATTTCTCACTGTGATACTTAAGCAAATGTTCCTTTTCTTCCTCTTCCACATCATGCAGGACTAATTTTGTTCTAGTAACATACCCCTCACGCTTCATTTTTAGATCTAACTCTTCTAAGAAGGCATAGATTCTATTCTTTTCTGGATGGAAACAATCCCCAACAGAGAATGTATGAATCTTGTTTTGTACCTCAACCCAACTATAACCTGGTACTTTCTTGATACCACCATCCCTCATTTTCAGCCTCATCTTACCAACATCAACCCATCTACCTGAAGCTGCATACAAATTTGAAAGGAGGACATACATTCCTGTGTTATGAGGCTCCATCTTGAAAACCATCTCGGCAGCCTTCTCACCCAGTTCAGTATTGCCATAAATCCTACTTGCACCCAGTAGAGCTCCCCATGTGGCAGCATCGGGCTCAAAAGGCATGTTTTTCATCAAATTATGTGCTTCTTCCAGGCGGCCAGCTCTCCCAAGAAGATCAATCATGCAAGTATAATGTTTTGAATTAGCTGTTATACCATAATCCCTTTCCATTGAGTGAAAATATTCCATTCCCCTGTCTATCAAGCCAGAATGGCTACAAGCAGATAGAACACCGACCTGAAAGAAGAAGCAGGTTGCTATCAGATTTAGTGAACAGATGAATAATTAAGTTGGCATTGGTTGAATTTTGTGCTTTGCCAACACTCAATGATGGTTGTAATATTTGATTGCAAGAGCAAGCAAAACGTTAGCAAGATCAACCATTAGAGCTATGGAAAGAAAACTGAAAGATTACTCTTAAAAACAATGTGTTTGACAAGCGATAGGGTATGCTGCCAACAACGCCAAGTTCATATTAAAGAGGGTGTGTGTGGAGTCTTAATTCATTGGAGTCACTAAAGTAACTCTCCTATTAATTCTCCAAATCAGTTTAACCAATACCCGATATAGTTCTTAACACCATGTTTAGCAATGGTGGCCATTTCCTAAGTACACAAGGTAAGCAAGTTAACAAACAAAATCAGATTTGCAAAATGAAATTAACGAAATAGCATGAAAAGACAAGCTTATTCTCTTCATGAAGATTATGTTCAGTTTATGTCAGAGAAACAATGTGCTCCCTTCCCAGCAAATGCACTATCATAGCATCCCACACATTCTTGTTGGAGATTGCTCAACCATGTAATAAAAGGATCTAGTTGTAGTGTCACCAAAAAAAAAAAACAAAAAAAAATAGGAGCTAGTGGTAAACTACATATAAAAAAAACAATAATATCAATAAAAAGACGAGGAATAGAAGATGACAATAGTTCACACTTCCAGCTGGGCAAGGGAGTAAATCATGCTATAGATGAGCTTTGAACAATATTTAAATAGAGATAAGGGGCTCAAATACCCAGAAGTACCCATGGAGGAGCACCTAAAACCTTGAAATTTTTTTTGCTCTTATATGCCCTGGAAGTTTTATTTCATAGCACTTCTCCCCTGAACCATTATTCATCAATAAATTTTACCGTTAAAAACACCAATCAAATCACATCATTTAATGGTCAAACTTAATAGCGAATAATGGCCCGAAAACAAACTTCTAGGGCATATAAGTGCCAAAAAAAACTTTCAAGTGTTGGAGCCTCCTTCATGGATACTTTCAAGATATTTAAGCACATTACCCCCCCCCCTTTTGTGACAAGCACCTTATCCCTATTTAAATGCATATAACATGTGTGATAAATATATATACCATAGTAATGTCATCAGGTTGAATTCCCGATGCCTTCAGCGACTCAAATATCATTAAGGCCTGTCTGCCAAACCCATGCCGAGCATAACCTGCTAACATTGTGTTCCAGGAGACAATATCTTTATCTTCTATTCCTTTAAATACAACATAAGCCTCTTCTATGCTGCCACATTTACAATACATTCCAAGAAGTGCATTCCCAACAAAGCACCCTGTCTCAAATCCTGCCTTTACTGCCTGCGAATGAACTTGCTTCCCTAACTCCAAAGCAGCAAGATCAGCACAAGTGCTCAAAGCACAACTAAAGGTTGCCCGATTTATTGTTTCCCCATCTCGCTTCATCTCTAAAAACATGTGCAAAACATCTTCATAGTAACCTGTTTGAGCATAACCAGCTATAATAGCTGCCCATGAGACACAATCACGTTGTGGCATCCTCTCAAACAAATTCCTAGCTTCATCAATGTTACCATTCTGAGCATATCCAGTGATCATGGTATTCCATGAACTTATATTACGACAAGGCATTGCCTCAAATAATTCCCGGGCCATATCTATTTTCCTGCATTGCACATAACCTGCGATCATTGCATTGTATGAAATCTCATTTTTTTGGGGCATTTCATCAAAAATTCTTCTCGCCTCATCCAACATCCCATTCTGCACATATCCAGAAACCATAGCGGTCCATGTGAACACATCCCGTATTGGAGACTCCCCAAACAATCTCTTGGCTTCTGACAAAAGTCCATTTTGAGCATAACCTGTAATTATAGTGTTCCAGGAAACTTCATCTCTAACAGGCATTTGGTCAAAGAGCTGCCTGGCGTCACGTAACATCTTCCTCTTTACAAACCCACCCATCAAACAATTCCAAGAAATCAAATCCCAGTCTGATTTTGACTTAAACAACTGGCAAGCATCACGAAGTCTTCCATTCTGAATACAGGCTGCCAGCAATCCATTCCACGAGATTGAATTCTTATTAGGCATCCTATCAAAAATATTCCTTGCCTCATCAACGTATCCATTTTGGGCATACCCAGACAACATAGCATTCCATGAAACAATGTCCCTTTCAGGCATTAAGTCAAATAACCTGCGGGCGTCACCAAGCCTCCGATTCCTGACACAGCCGGTAAGCATTACATTCCACGAAAAAAGGTCCCTTTCAGGCATTTTCTCAAACAGATCCCTCGCATGATCGAATTTTCCGTTCCTTAAGTACCCGGATATCATAGCATTGTATGAGACAGAACTTCGACGAGGCATGGTGTTGAAGACTTGGAGGGCGACTTGGCAGTGCCCATTGCGCATGTGAGAAGAAATGACCCTGTTCCATTCAAAAATGTCAGGGTCCTTAACTGTAGAGGAATGTTTCAATGTATGAGATTTTGAAGGTGAGCTTTTCTTCGATGATGACGGGTTTGGATTTCTGTGTCTCGCTGGTTGACTCTTATTATAGAGAAAGCGGACCTGTGATTGTCTCAAACCATAAGTCTCGCGCAATCGCATTGCTGTTAACTTCGAACTGTATTATTTGATTCATACAACCTGCTAGGCGTGCCGGAACATACACCAACTCGACCCGTCCGTTCGCTTCATTAGCTACTTGGACTTCCTCTGCCTAAAAATATGCTCAAAGCGCCGTGAAGATGGTCTCAGGGTCTGGGCCTTTTTCCTTTTTTTTCCAATACGTCCGAACCAAGACTCCGTTGAAGAGCTAAGAAGCTCGTGTAAGGTAGTAGCTCCGAGAATCTGGATCCCCACAGGTTCATTCAAGGCTTTCTTTGCAAGCATATCGGCTCTGAGTCTTCGGTTCTGTTCTATGCGGACCAGCTGCAACTCAACCTGCCACTGTCGCCGGCTCGTTGCAGGGCCCGAAAAGCATCTTTAAAAATACAAAAAAGAATCCCTTCGTACGCTTGTTCTATATCGTAAAATCATAGTAGCAGTTTGGTTTAAGTGTTAATATTAATTTTATACATAAAATTTATTTTATATGTTTATCAATTTTTATAAGTCCATTCTATTTATATTTTCTCGACAATAATTAAGTAGGTAAGAAAAGAAAGAAGCTAAAAAAATGATTATGATATTTTTAAAAAAATATATCATGTTAATCAATTTAATCAACATACTTAATCTATTTAAATTAATTAATTAGGTCTTATATTAAAAATAGTAGAAATAAATTTCAGATTTATTTCAAAATTTTATATTTTAAATTAATATTTTATTTTATTTTAATAGATATAAAATAAATTTAATTATTAAAAAAATTGCATACTGAAAATTTTGAATATAAACTACCCACATCAGATATTGGACCTCTTGACCCCATTTTTTCTTGTAAAGATAACCTCATGTAAAGAATGAGGGCTAAGCCCAATATTGCGTGGATCTGGAATGCTGAATCGGGACGTGAAAGCGAATAGTTATTAAAATGGGCCCAGGTTGGTTCAGAGCATCGCATATCACGTTACATGTATGGCGGATGGGCTCTTGAAATGACAAATGACAGATAAGGATCAATTTAAGCAGTTCAATACGTTTAACTTTTTGTACCAAAAAAAAATGTTTAACTTTTAGGGAGTGTTTGGATGAAATCAAACCATGATTTGAAGAATAGCTTCTGAAAAATAAATTCTTAGAAGAATAGATTTTGTAAAAAATTGATTTTGATAAAGTGAAAGTGTTTGTATAATTGTTATCAGAAGCACTTTATATATGTGCAAATTACTAAAAAAAGCATAAGTTAGTATGATAATTACATAAAAGATAGATTTTATAATATATTTTAATTTAATAGAATAAAATTGTTAATAATATATTTTTTACCAGCATAATTAATAATATATAAGATAATGTAATTAATAAATAATTAAAAATGTGTATATATTTATAAAATATAAAATTAAATATGTTTATAAAAAAAATAATTGAGGAGTGTTAAAGTTATATTATTGTTGAGATCTATTCTGACAGACATAATCATACTTTCTAATTTAAACCAGAAATAGAACAGATTCACTTCTTTTGAAACTATAGTTTTGAGCACAAAACCAAGAGGGTGTTTGGTAAAACCAAAACCACGATTTTAGAATCATTTTTTCGCAAAACGAGGTAACTACCTCCACATATTTACTTCGTAATCCGTAAAAGCACTTCTGAAATCATGGTTTGATTTCTATCCAAACACCCCCCAAGGCTTTAACCCAAAACCGCGGTTTGTTAATTTTTCTCAATGTTTGGCAAATTTGGGACCCAAACCATGATTTGATCCCAAAACCATGGTTTCATCGTATTGCCAAAAGATGAGGATTCCAAAACTAAAAAATGCCAAAAAAAAAAGCAAAAAAAAAAAAAAAGATGAAAAATACCTTCGCCAACACAAAACAGTTTAGTTTAACTTACGAAAACCAGGAAGCATGCTTATCTCATAAGATTTTAGTACCAGTTTTTTCAATTAATGATTAATAGTTTCATAATTGATTTTTAGTCAAAATATGAGTGTTAGCGTTGAGGGTTTTATTATTAGTTTTAATCAAAATACAAGTGTTTGGTTAATACTTTCAAAATCGCGATTTAATCAAAATATAAGTATTCGGATGGTACATGCCAAAATCTCAAATCCGCGACCTTTCACTTTCAGTTACAGTAAAAAACTATTATTTCTAGTACTTCATATAAGAGTTTTCAGTAGATTAAAAAAATTAGTTATTTAATAAATATGAGTCGATTTTCTTAAAGTACCCTTTTAAGCATGACTGTCATTGGATGAAAACTTATTAGGCCCCATTTGGCATTATGTTTGAAATCACCAATAAATATATTTAACATAAGCCGAAGCAAAACTTCTCACGTATAGTTATGCAGTATTCCGTAAATTATAATAGAAAAAATATTTATAAACCATTTTAAACAGCCTCTCAACATGCATAACCGATATCTATATTTTAGAGAATAAATTATGAAGTTGTGAGACAAAGAAAATTAAAGTTTTATACTAGTTCTGGTCCTAATTATAAGAACTAATTGATTAATTTGAGGAGATTAAAGAAAGAAGTTAAGTTAGTTATTTGTAACAAATAAGTGTTGTCTTTCCTAAAATATTCTTACTAATCAAGTGTATTGGCTAGAACTATTATTGTTAGAAGGATTACTTTGGAAAAAAATAGATAAATATGAGAGACGAAATGGACTAGAGTCTTATATTTAGGATCAAAATAAAAGTTAAATAAGGTCTTATATTAAGAACTGGAGGTATTATTTAAAACTAAAGTTAATATTCAGCTAATTTTTATACTTAGTACATGAGGTGATATTTGATTGGAACTGAGAATGGAGATTCCGATCAGGCATCTTGTCTTCCACACTCTCCCTTCCTGGCCTTTTGCCGAATCCTAAAGGACAGAAAATTTAAGGAGGCCCTCTCAAGTGTGATCCCACTTTGTACCCAAAAAAAAAACAAAAAAGAAAGTGTCATCCCACTCGACTTGCCAGGTCACTATACGTTGAAGCTGAAAAGGAAGTCTAGAATAAAATTGCATTACAATTTGCATTCTTCTATCAAGACCTGGCATTAAGTATATTATTTTTTATGTTATACTAGTAATACGAATACATCAGTATGGTCATAGTTTCGTCATGTTAGGAAGAAAAATGAATTCTTCGACTGAAAAAATTGGTGTGGCTGGTGAAATTATGACGTATCAAATTTTAGTGACCATTACCATATTTTATTCTATTCATTTTAGGCAATAAAAATACATCAAAAAATCTTGAGTGAGCAAAAAAGCATGGTGTCTGTCTAATGAAAGGAACTATTGACATTTGAGTATGAAATCAAAAATTTAAATATCCTCTTAAAGTAAACAATACTTTTTGGAGAACTATTTTCATTTGGGCATGATAAATACTAAAATTTAATCTAATAGGACCGAATATAGACTATCAGTAATGTGTTTGGAAAACTTTGAATCATCTTTTTTTATATAGGAAATTAAATAATGTTAATTTTATTGCTTTTTGACTAAATTGCATCTTTTATTTGCTCTAAAAATTCTCTTAACTTTGAATCATCTTTTTTCCCCTCTTTCTAACCAAAACTAAATAAAGGCAAAATTAGAAAATTATCATTAAATACTTAACAAGTGATTTACAATATGGATTATAATGATATTATCTTATTTTTTGTCAAACAATAATTTGTTTCACAATATATAAATTATGAAAGAATCAGATACTACTACATCCGGTTCTTAATATAAGAGCTAATTGATTAATTTGAGTAAATTAAAAAAATTAGTTAAATTAGTTATTTGTGATAAATAGATGTTGTTTTTCCTAAAATATCATTACTAATCAAATATAATGACTAAAATTACCATTATTATAAGAATTATCTTGAAAAAAATTGATAAATATAAAAAAAGTATATTAGAATCTTATATTTATGATCAAAATAAAAATCAAATAAACTCTTATATTAAGGATCGAAAGTATTATATGTTGATTTCTGAGTTTAAAAAGAATATTTCAAGTCACTATCTTTTATGACATAACTATGATCACAATAGACTTTAAGGCTTATGTCATTGTACTATTCATATACCTAACACATTTTAAAAAAAGATTTTGAAATGAAGATAAGAATTAACCCCTAACGAGTGATGACTTGGAGGTTGAGATTGTGAGGTTGCGGCGTTCTACATTTGCACGCAAACTGCTGAGGAGTTGACCAAATTGATGGATGACACTAGAAAACAGCAGTTTGAATTTTGATCCATGCATTGGCAAAAAGACAGAAAGACCAAAAAAGAAAATCCAGCATCCAAAGTATTTTTTGAGGTACACTTAACATTCTAAAATATTTTGTAGGGTATATAACATTTTAAAATATTTTTTTAGAAACATCCAATACTCTAAAATATTGTTTTGTCTTGATGCTAGATGCACCTAAAAATATTTTTAAATATTAGATGCATAAAAAAATATTTTAAAGTATTAGATACACACAAAAAAAATTATTTTAGGATGCTGATTGCTGAATTCATCACAGAATATTTTGACTTTAGCCCCCCAGAAAAACAACAAAAGAAAACAAAAACCTGAGCTGTCACTGGGGAATTTGGATTGGATCATTTGCCAATTGTTTAAAAAAAATTAAAGAAAAGACGTTGGATCTTGAGTATGCGTGGTACTCGATTACCATTTTTATATTGACCAAATTGATGGATGACATTAGAAAACAGCATTTTGAATTTTGATCCATGCATTGGCAAAGAGACAGAAAGACCCAAAAAAAAAAAATCCAGCATCCAAAGTATTTTTTGAGGTACACTCAACATTTTAAAGTATTTTGTAGGGTATATAATATTTTCAAATATTTTTTTAGAAACATCCAATACTCTAAAATATTCTTTTATCTTGATCCTAGATGTATCAAAAAATATTTTTAAATGTTAGATGCATAAAAAAATACTTTAAAGTATTAAATCCACACAAAAAAATATTTTAAAATACCAAATATATTTTAAAAAATATTTTAGGATGCTGATTGCTAAATTCATCACAAAATATTTTGACTTTAGCCCCCCAAAAAAACAACAAAAGAAAACAAAAACCTGAGCTGTCACTGAGGAATTTGGATT